CGAACAAACTTTCTCACCTCCTCTCAAACTTGAAAAACATCGTGAAAACAGTACTTTTTCAGGGTTGATTAATGACGTCGTCGCAAAAGGGGAAAGAATCAAGCATGGCTTCTACAACATCATCATGGGAGAGGCCATAAGTCAACACGGTCAAAACAACTGGTGCAATTAAGACACGCTATGACCTCTGATGACCATCACTGCTTCAAAAGGAAGGGAAGGTGTCACAACTCCTCCTTCGAGGGATTTGATTGGCTCATGAAAGGAAGGGCATACCTGGCATGAGAATAAGCAGGTAAGAGGAGAGGACACGAGGAATACTAAACTCTGATTGGATACCATCTTTTCTCCTTCGCCCATGTGTACCCATGGAGGGCAACATGAGGAGGGGAGCAGAGCTAGAAAGGAGGCGAAAGAGGGAGGAGGAGGAGGAGTCGATATATGACATTTGAAAAGAAGGAATAAATTCCGAGGTAGACGAAATATCTTGTCACTGGCTTATCCGTCGGCAAATCTCACCGCCTTGAGAATCACCCATTTCAGACAATCAATAAGTGACCTGAGCAGAGCTACTGAGTTGCGATTGGTTGTTTTTAAAGGGATCGTATGAGGGCGGTGGAGACTAATTCCTAGCGGAATTGTACCACTAAGAATTTAAAAAAAAAAAAAAAACAAAAACTGCACCCAGCCAAGAAGGTAACGAATCATGCAGTCCAGAATGTGACATTTCCAGTAGCTGACTCATCCCATTTTCCATTAAATACACTTTTTTAAAGTAAACTCGGCTTACCAGGCTTCCACCTCAACAGCGATTTCGCCTTTACCAACAGTCCTCTGGTCCTTTGACTGGACTCGAAGGTACTTGGGCCCACCGAACCCAGTAAGCAGAATGCATTTAGTTTGCTTTACCGGAGGTGCTGCAGTGGCCGGTGATTCAGTTTCCTTGGCGCCTTCAGTTTCTGGTGCGTTGGCTCCACCAGTAGCAGGAGGATTCGTAGCTTCACCTTCAGTAGTCATCACGGTGAAAGGGAACCCGAGCAGAAGTAAGAGGAGGAGAGAGTGTGTGCGTTTGTGTGTGAGAGAAAGAGAGAGAACTAGCAATAACGGTGGGCAGAGGCGTTGAGAGAACCTCGGACGCGAGCGCGTGAATGAGTGTGTGTGTGTGT